GGGGTGGTGGTGAGACTTGATCATATAATTTGTCCACAATAAAACAAATATGTATTTAAGAGCCCCTGGCAGACCATAAACGTGTCACAGAACTTGCAAATATGTGAGGCCTATATTGTAGCAATTACATGTGTGTGTGTATTTGACATCATGTATGTTTGACAAAATGAATTCAGTGCAGTCTAACTTACTATTTTATTCTAGACTCATCAAGGTTGGGCTCCTTGGCCCTCAGGGGAGGGTAAGTGCCCCCGCTCAGCAGACACTTCGCATCCTGGGCTTCTATTTGCCTAACATTTTATTACAGTTAATTGTAATTAATTTAAGGGCGTGAAATTCTCTGAGGGCAAAAAATATATGTGTCTAGCTTACTCGATATTGTGAGTTGAATTAATATGTGAAGATCATTGGTGTCTTACTAACTGGGATAACCTAAACTGTTAGGCTACAAAGTTGCACAAAAACATCTTTAGGTCTCACTTTTATGGAACTACAGAGATAGTTCTGCCCTACACTTTGCAGTAATGAGCATCCTATAACATTCTAATAACACAGATCATTAGAGGACAAATTAGAATTCCTGACTTCTGTCTCCCATTTGCTTTTCCACACTCACAACCTCTTTTGTTTCCTCCCTCTGGTTCTCACAGTCTATAAAGTCTTAGAAGGTACCAGATGTTTGGGAGAGGCTGTCCCACACATCCTATATTTTTAAACTAGAAGCAAGATTTATAATAGCTACATAAATGTAATATCAGCCTTGACGTGGCTCCCTGTCAAATAGAACAATTCTTATCCGTGGAGGATTGGCATCAGGGCCAAACACTCAAAATAACCACAGGATATTACTGAAGCAACAGATTCGGCTCACAAACTGTTTCCCTCTAGGAAATTTTAATTCATGTAGCCATTCTTCAAGAACACCCTTTTGCATTCAGGCAACATTCAAAAAGTTAGGTGGGGATGAGTTGTGTTTGAAGGTACAGTAACACCTGGGTAAGTGCTGAGGCAGAACTGTCAACGCCTCAAATTACATTTTTCTCCTACTGCATCGTTTCTAATAGAACAGGCTAGAAACCACGGCCCCGTCCCTCCGGCGCTGTCTGGCTCAGGGGCACGGCACAGCCGACCGTTCACACAGCAAACTGAAGTACAGGCGGAGCTGGGCTGGGCTTTGTACTGGGGACCCCCACATGCTCTAGAGGGCTGCTGGAAGTCCCTGCAGAGGTGAACTGAGACTTTTCAAGTACTCTAACATGGTCTAGCACTGTCTTCTTCAAAGCAGCCAGCAACTTTTTTTTTTAAGGCTCTTTGCGTAAGAGGTAAAGAGTTCTTCTTTTTTCCTATGGTGGTTACTTGATAAAATACTTTGGGGCACTATGTGTGTGCAGGGCATAAAGTTAAACTTTCTAAAGGAGGAGGACTAAAATGTATCCCTTAGGAAGTTTAACTCCATGCCCTGCACAGAGATAGTGTCCCCCCTCCCCAAATTCTTATCTTTATATATTTAGATTTTCCTGTAGGAAAAAGGAAGAACTCACAAATGCATCCCTTTATTAGTTAATATCATCCCAATGCATTGAATTGAAAAATAATTTAAAATAATAAAAACAAGTAATCAGGAAAAATAATGCATCACAAGTAGATTCCTGATTGTTTTTCTAGGATCTATAACCTTACAGAACCTGGGAAAGGAATGGAATATCACTAGGGTTTTTACTTGAACACTTACAACATTTTTTTTGACAAGTGAATTGTGTTTCTTTAGACATGATCCAGATACCACTGACTTCTAAACAGTTACAGATGACTTTCAATTAATCTGTGGCTTTGTAAAGATCATGAGACTGTGCCACCAACTCAATTCCTATTTTTATTGACGGTTGCTTGCATGTCACTGTTAACATTTTTAAAATTTTTTCCTATTGATTTTAGAGACAGAGGAAGGGATAGGGAGAGATAGAAACATCGATAAGAGAGAACATCGACTGGCTGCCTCCTGCATGCCCCGCCTGCGGATTTGCCCACAACCTGGGCATGTGTCCTGACTGGAAATTGAACCGGCGACCTCTTGGGGCATGGGTCGACGCTCAAACACTGAGCCACACCGGCCGGGCGCTGTTACCATTTTTGATGAGCTCATAATGAAAAAACAACTTATAAAATATATGAAATGGGACATGACTGCAGCAGGCAGAGATGACTCAGGCACTGACAGCAGAAGAAGTGAAAGTTTAATGAAAAGATGCTAGGAGCCCAAGAGTGATGGGCTGCAGGTGCTAACCAAAGACAGGCCTATTATATATAATTTTTGTTGGAGAACTGATTTGCCCACAGATCTCTGCTGCTGCACTCATGAACACAGTAACCCTGTCAATGTGGATGTGTCTGTGTAGAAAATGGATTTGGCACATTTGACTAATTTCTGTGATAAATTTGTGAAGTAACACTTCACATCGAGACAAGAATCAGCAAGAACATATTTTTCTCCATAGGTCTATGTGGGTGGTCAGTTCTCAATGTCATAGCAACACCTGAAGAAAGAAAACTGGAGGAGTTTTCTCAGAGGTCTCTAGCATTGATAAAAAAAAATGGGTGTGAACAACTATTAATGTAGGACTAACCACTAGGTTTCCTCCTCATTAAAGCACTTGGTGGGTTCGACTTTTAGTTTTGCAATCGAATGATTTTCCGGACTTTCAATTACACATCAATTTGGCATCTAGGAAACCCAAGTAATTAAAAGTTTAAGGCTTTGTTTTACATCAAAATAGCCAGTCAGCAGCAAGAAAAAATGCCAATTAAGAAGTCACGGTTGGTCTTACAAGTTAAAAAAGCCCTATTCTCATTCTTAATCATGTCCCGCTCTAAGTAACAAAATCCACATGTCCACTTCCATCAATAACTTGTGGGCTGACCAAACACAACTCAAATGTCCTATGAATTAGGCATCTTCAACCCAAAAGTATGAAGAGTCTTTATGACTCAAAAATGATGCTATACAGTTTAGCCTGGTTTTTAAAATATGCAAATCTTTTTTAGATTTCTTGATGAGAGCATATTTTTATTAGCATTATTTAGGGAGACTATCTTCCAAGATTAATCTAAATGTATATTTTAGAAGAATGAGTTTATTCTGATTACTTTTCTTTATTCATACCGCCTCCAAAATCTTAGCCAAAACTGTCGTTTCTGAGTTAGAAGGGTACCTGAATGATTAACTTTTTAAAACCTCCCTCATTATTCATATAAATTAACCCAAGATCACATGAACAGATTTTGCCCTCCTACTGAAAGGAGAGGGGACAGCATTTCAATGTGTTCTCTCCAAAATGACTTCTGAGATTTTTGTTAGATCACTTCCATTTGAACCTACCCCTCTCAAATCTCTTTATAAAACCTCAATAGCATTTTCTCTGGCCTTTCTAAGCATAATAGTGTGCTGGCCAGTGGGTTTCAATGCCAAAGCTGAATGCCTGTAACCTCAGCACATCTTTCTTTGCACAGTGGGCTTAGGTTCCTCTGTATCCCAACACATCTGAGTCCTTTGTCCCGCTCCAATCTAAGATGTCAGAAGACTCTCCTCTTGCATTCTGGTTTAGAGGCTTGCATAAGTGATGAAGGCCCTCTGAGGCTGACGAATGCCACTGTTATTTGCACACTCTGCTTGTCACTATGCAACTGCAGTAAATGCAATTGGAAGTACTTTTCTTTGAAGGCCATTTGACAGAGGAGAGAGAAAATACATTTACTCTTTCAAGGCCTATGTATTTTCCTGGGAGAAGCCTGCCTATAAAATCTGTCCTTTTATCCTTGGACAGCTATTTGGGAAATATCTTTTGGCAGTGCAAGCCCTGAGTGATTTCTGCAACTCAGGATGTGAGCCATGATTCACAGACCTTCCCTGGATCTCCCCACCTCCTCTCCTCCCACCTTCTAAAGACTGCAAGGCTGATTCATGCGTGTGTGCTGAAGCATTCTTTCCCACAGAACAAGGATGAGAATTTGCATAGTTTACCAAAAATATTGAGCTATTTTCATCATAGATGTTTAAGGAAGGAGCTGTTTACTAATATCGAAACAGCACACAAATCACACTGAACAACTTAAAACGGGTTCCGCTCCCCTGCAGCAGATGGGAGATTAATGCAATCCTTGAAGTATTTCCAGGCACAGCTCTGCACCTGTGCCACCCTGTCCTCTAGCTGCGCCCCGAACCCAAGGATCGCCCCTCCCCACGGAACCAAGGGGTGGGGATATGACCAGAACTTGGACGCTGGAACCTGGACACCGGAACCCTCTCAGAAGCAAAGGGTCCTTTGTCCAGGAAGATCCCTTGCAGAAGCCCCTGACCATGAAAGACTGAATTCCAAGGTCCTCCAAATAAAATTGTCCCACCAGGGCTTCGCATACATGGTCCCCCTCGCTCCTTAAAACCCGACTGTACACAGTTGGGGAGGTTGGGTTTTAAGCAAAACGGCTTCCTGTTCTACTTGCTTAGTGCTCTGTAAATAAAGGAACTGCAAAACTCAGGGCTCAGTGTTCGCCTCCGCTGTGCTTGTGCGTGTGCTTTTGGGGGTGGGGGAAGAGGACAAAGTCTCCTCCGGTTTGGTTACAATATCTGTGTATCCATGATTATGTTGCAGTAATAATAAAAAAAAGACAAGAGTACTGTGGATTTCCTTTAGGAGAATCTTTTGTAGCGCTCACAAAAATTCAACAAAGACTACTTTTATCTTTGTCAGAGACATCAGCTAACTCAGTACAGCTGGCTTGTACCATCTTCAACAGGCTCGTCCTTCACAATATGCAAGGGAGTCTTACTTTTCAGAACAACACAAGAAGAAAAAGGAAGAATGGTGTTTATACTTAGCCAAATGCTCTTTTGTTTTGTGTCTTTTCAACATCCTCGTAGTCTCTGCAAGTCATCACAGCTGTGAACCTGCCCTCACAGACAGGTCCCCACATTTCTTTTCTGGATCCATTTACATGCTCCTTACCTATAAACAGGTTCCACTCTGTGTCCAGGTCGGCCTGATTTGCCAGGCAGCCCTTCATGACGTTGAGGCAGTAGTTGTTGCAAGGTCTCACGGCGGGAAGTCCTCGGCAGTACGGGCAATACAGCATCTTCATGAGAGCCCGGATGCACCCTGGGGTGGGGCTGACCTGCAAATGTGTCCAAAAGTAAAGGCAATCAGAAATAAGAAGGATGGAAGGGAGAAAAACGATGTACTCATTTTCTCCTTTTAAAAAACAAAACTAGATGAAATGGTTCTGGTAATCCTTCAACGGTAGAATAAATGGTTAAAGGAACCATCGGAATCTTAACCCTTCGTAATACTTGATCTTGTAGCCAGTAATTCCTGTTCAATACTTCTGTTCAGCATAGCAATAATCAATTTTCTTTTAACGTCCCCGTCCACATTTTGATATCTATGTCTTTGTAATTCAGCCCTAAAATAAAACCTAGACACCGTTGCATTGCACTAGAACATGAAATGAGATAATGCACATGAAAGCAATTTGCAAAGTTAAAAGCCCCATAAAAATGTTGGTATTATTAAAGTTTAATGTGACACCTCTAGAAAATTTTCCAACTGGTTATTTGACCCTGTTTCTAAAGGAGGTTGCCAGATATACTTCCTTTGTACATAACTTTTTAAAAAGGATCGATATCCACTTGTCTGGGATTTCTGAGATCCAGGTCTGCTCAGGAGCAAGGAACTGTCAAAGCCCCGGCTTCTGGCCTCTGGAACTCTGTGGAAAATGAATCCAGTGTTGAATGAGGGAGAAAACCTTGCGGTCATTCAGAGGAGCTACTGATCAGCTGACGATGAGGTGCTGTTGCCTTGAATGAGGAAAGTAGCCCTCTCCTTCCGGGGTTACTAAATTCTGAACCAGCCTTCTTTAGCCTCATTGAAAATTCTGATTTAATTTCAAGTGGAAAAAATACTTAAAACAGTATGGACCACCAACCCCCACCCCGCCCCCCAAATACCGAAAATTCTTTTTATGATTAGACACAACATTGTCATATTTATTAAGTGAAGTAACTATGTGTTGCCATCCCTGTGTTCTAGGTCTGAGAACAACCTAGCTTGTATCATTTGGACCTCTTGGAAAGTTTCAGTCTTATCAAACAGACCTGCATCTGCAGGTGACATTTCCATGTCCAGATACTGACAAAGTATGCCACCTCTACAAAGGTACGGCAATAAAAAGTATTTCCACATAAATGGAAACTTTCAACAACTATAACTGATCTCTGTCATTTTATCTTTTTCCTAGAAACCACATTTGAAATTCTTTTTTTTTTTAGAGAGAGAGGAAGGAGGGGGGAGAGAGATAGAAACATCCATCAGCTGCCTCCTGCCCACCCCCTACTGGGGATCAAACCCAAAACCCAGGCAGGTGCCCTGGCCGGGAATTGAACCAGTGACCTCTCCGTGCATGGGGCAATGCTAAATCCACTGAGCCACACTGGTTGGGAACATTTGAAGTTCTTAATGCAAGGCTTTGGTTTTTGCAACATTCTCTTAACTTTATGTTGTATAATGACAAAGTCCTTAATGTATTATTTCAAGAAATGTAGAGTTTATTTATTTAGGCACTGAAAGTTCTAATGATCGTGCTTGTTTTGTACTTTTTCACAAAACTATATGACAATTCTCTAAGTTACAGAAAGTTCTAAGGTTTTCACAGTGAACACCTATGCTCCTACTCCTAGATTCTACATTTAATATTTTCCTACAGTTCCTTTTTGAACATCTATCCCTTCCATCCAACCATTAATCTACCTTAGTTCTTACTCCTCCATTGTACCTTCTTTTTGATTTTTCTGTTCCTGGTAAATTAATGTTGGCTTTAATAAAGTAGAAGTAACATTAACAACAGAAAGTTAGTGCATTATGTACTTCAAATCAAGTAAGTAAAATATAATTGACCTTTCTTACAAAAATATTTAGAGACTGGTTCAATTCCATTAAATCCAAAATTTATTTTCCAACAATAAAACAAAAACAAAAGAGGAGAACAAAAGTAAGGAGTCTAGTGATCTTTCTTCTGAACACACATTCGTGCCGCCATGTCATCTTCTCCAGATGGGTTATTCTGTTACAATGACAAATTTTATCCACAATTTAGTAGTATTATTTTAAAATGTTCTTTTATCTACACGTATTCCAAGCCATTCACAGTAAATAGAGAAAATATTCTGTATTCTCCATATAGAATCAGTGTGGAATTCCAAAGTCTTATACCTTTTACTTATTTGGCATGGTTTCAGTCCTACAAACCTTTGTCCACAGGATTTTGCTTTCCATAGCCTTCCAAATTCTCTCTTGACCCTGATGTCTTTCTCCATAGACCTACCAATGTTCATGAGCTGGCTGAGTAATTTCTTCATTTGACTGTTGAATTCTTCACTTTCTTGCCACTGGTATTATACAGTGCTTTGCTTCTTCTCACTCAATGTGTCAGTATAAAACCTGGGGCATTTGTCAATACTGGGGATGCAGTTTTGAGATCCCTGGACAGTGTGGACTCTTTTTCATCATTATAACCTACACCGGTCTAAAACATGCACGTCATTATCAGGTACTACAATATAACTTAGATGCTCAATAGGTGCTGTTTGGATGGAACTCTCTATTGTATTTCCCAATTTCTTGGCCAGATTGATATGAAAGGGAAAAAAGAACAAGATAGTTTTATACATCTAACATTCAAGTGTTGCTTTTTAACTTTGTTTTCAAAGGTTATTGATTCCATTAATTCCAAAGCTTTGCTTTTTTTTTTTTTACTTATTTATTTTTTTATGTTTGAACCAGTACAGTTTTCTCAGTCTGACATTTAAGAAGAGTCTCCAATCAGGGTAGCAACCGACAGAGAAAATAAAACAGCCTTAATAACCTAGAAGAACAATGTTGTTCAAGTTAAATGTGGCTCTGCCCATGCTTTTGGAAATGACATCCTTCCTGGTCAAATAAAGGGCATTTGAAGAAGAAAAATGGAGAGTGCAGGATCAAAGTTGAAGCTTTCATGTCCGCAGACCACAATTTTTGAATTGACACACTGCATGCTTAAATTTAAAAAAATAAAATAAAAAAAAATCACTTCAAACTCAAGACTTCTAGAAGTCTCTGCAAAGAAGGTTGTTTTAAATGCCAATTGTGTGAGGGGATATTTTTCTCTTTAAATGTATAATAGTGTTTTAAAATTGTGCTATACTTCCTTTTAAAAGACTTTTTTATTTCAAAATCAATATAGACTCACAAGAAGTTGAAAAAATAGTAGAGTACTGGGTACCCTTCCCTCACCTTCCCTCAATGGCACCATCTCATATAGCTGTAGTACAATATCACAATGAGGAAACTGACGTTGGCAAATTGCTGCTAATTACATTATTGACCTTACTCTGTTCTCATGATTTCTTTTTTTCATCTTGCATTTCTTTATGAGTATGTGTGTGTCTATATGTGTACACTTCTATGAAATTTTATCATATAGATATATGTTTATAATGCTACCACCATCAACATACTGAACTTTTCCATCATCAGAAAAGGACTCCACCGCACCCCGTCCTGTCATCTGGTAATCTATTGCCACTAATCGCTTTCGCATCTCTATAATTTGTCCTTTTCAAGAATGTTATTTAAATGGAATCACGCAGTACATAACCTTTTTAGCTTCATTTTTTCTTCTTAACTGAGCATAATATCCTTGATGTTCATCCAAGTCTGTGCATGTATTAATAGTTCATTCCTTTTTATTGCTGAGTAGTGTTCCATGGTTTGGATGTACTAGAATTTGTTTAACTATTCACTCTTTGCTATTAGGAATAGTGTTTTGCTATTAGGAATAAAGCTTCTATTAGCATTCATGCACAGGTTCTTATACTAGTATTCATTTCCTTGGGAAAAATGGTCAGGAAGTGCATTTGATGATTCAAATGGTTAGTGCATGTATAGTTTTGTAAGAAATTGCCAATCTCTTTTTCAGATTGGTAGTAGCATTTTACATTTCCACCAGCAATGTATGAGAGATCCAGTTTTCCTCACATCATTCCCAGTATTTGGTCTTATAACTTTTTAAAATTTTAATTATTTTAATAGGTGTATTATCTACTTTAAAATTTATAGTGAGTTTCCTCTGAATGGTATCCATACCTATATTCTAGCCTTAGTGGGTTCTAATAAACATCAGATCCTTAAGCATTAACCAGTTTATCTCTGGAAAATGCACAGCATTTATATATATATATATATATATATATTTCTGAAATTTTAGATAAATCTGTATATTTGGCAAAACCAAAATAAAGGAGTTCCAAAAACTCACATTTAAAATTTAGAATATATTACCTCTCAAATATATATTACCACTATTTGTATATTTGGTGGACTTTTAGAAAAAAATTTCTACTAAAGAATATTGTGTTCATTTAATAACAATAAAGAATACAATCACCTTGAGAAACAAAATGTTGACTTTTTTTTAAGTTGGTGATAGGAATTTTTGACAAATTTTTGAAAATGCAGCTGTAGTTTCCTAGATATGCAAAGTATACTGGGAAGTAAACTTAAGTGAAAGGGTAAGTTGAGATGTTTATAAAAGCGGTACCCACACGGTATGAAGAAAACAGTGTTTTAAAGCAAAAAAATATTAAGTTGACATTGACATTGTTTTCTGTACTTGTTTGTGCTCTCACATAACTTTTATGTATTGTCAATCCTTGTCAAGAATTCACAATATTACAGGGGAAAAACAGTCAACAGTTCCTAGTCCAATATCCTACTCTGGAAAAAGAGACACAGTTTGAACTGATAAAGTAAGATTTCAATATGAAATGCTTGCATCTTAGATTTAGTCTTCCGGTTAACTTCTTTTGATACTGTTTGTACACAATGAATACTTATAAATTATCATTTTTATAGTTACTATTATCACTGACTAGTTTTGAGAAATACTAATAAGATTTGAGAAATAATAATATAATTTATAATGAAGTTTCCCTGTAAAATAACTGAAAAATAAATAAAATGACAGAAAAATAATTGAGCTCATAGTTTGTAACCTTGTGAGTTTTATTGTCATTATTTGTATTATTATTATTTTTTAAAGCTAAAGCAAGATGCGTTGAAACATGGCAAGGAATACAGAAA